AAATGTACTTAAACAAGTTATTAACTTTTAAATTAGCATAAAGTATAAGATTAGTATAACTCAATATTTAAAAAAAAATACTTTTATATCAGTAAGAAATGTTTAAAGAGATTTTTGTAATGGAATCATATTATATTCCCAGTAACCCGGATTATAGGGCACAGAGCCACCTATTCTTTTGTTTATATATGTTATAATATGTGTATATCTCTTGCTTTAGTAGGCCTAGCAGCTAGAAGATGGCTAAGTTTAGATAGATACCTCCGTGATATAGATAAGGTATATCACGGCCCTATTGTCTCTGGATACGGATGAAGACCACAAAGCTGATGAAGGTGGAGAACATATTCGGTACAATGAATGCAACGGAAGTGGCCACCCTGTTTCTAGGGATGGTATAAAAACAACTGGTGAATGGCAGCAGTGATCACCAGTCAGTACTATAATTGTTCTCAAAGGAAATGATTCTAAACCTATGAATACTAATTAACACTAATCCAAACTATGAATACTATAGTATCCATAGGTGAGACTGAAACAGTTAGAGTACTGCGTTACGGCGATGGAAAAAGCAAGTAGGAAACTACAGTGTTATATTTCTCAAGACATCCGTCTGCAGATATTTTTTTGCCATGTTGTAAATACCAAAAAATACGGCCTTAGTCCTGGGGAGGCCCTGAATGGTTAAGGAATGTGAAGAATCTCCGGGTTTAACTTGATAAGGTATACAAAATTGTTACGTGGTATATCAAAAGCTTATTTGCAGTTTGCAAAAGGTAAATTACAAAATCTAATTCAGAAACAGTATTAATATCAATATTATCGGTACAAGCGAATTGAGGAGGGAAAACTCTTCTGATCTCTACTAATGCGGTAAAAGTATAGATCCAAACCAGAGTGTTGGGGTTGGAGTTCTGATTGGCGACAATTTGCTCGTCTCCGTGAACTATTTTGTTCCGAAACTCATTCAGTTGAACTACAGCAGACAAGTCAGAAGAAGAACTAGAGCGATTTTATCAACAGTTAGACGAAACTTTATATTGACTAAAAATCGCGAAATTAACATCGTATTAGGAGATTTCAACGCGAAAGTTGGAGTAGGAGACGTAGATCACGTAGTTGGACAGATCTACCAAGACAAAGGTCCAGTGATAACGAACATTTGGTATAACTTACCGCCCATGAGGCTTTACACATGAAGGTCGTCTTTAAACATCAGGGCATTATATGGAACCAAATAGATTACGTGACAAGTTATAAAGATACATAAAGGCCAGTACTATGGTTTTTAGTTAGAAAACTCAGGAGCAACGATACAAGACCAAATATACACAGTAAAGGAATTATAGCGGCGAAGAAGATCTGAAGATGACTACACTTTGCACCAAAGCTGAAAACCTATATAAACTCCTCGATAGCTTTAATCTACACAAGAAAATGAAGGAAATTTCTGGGATCTTCAACAAAAAACTAGTCACTGGTATACATAATGACAAAGATGAGAATAATGGACATTCGCAATATGCTTAATATCTGAAAAATTTATCAAGCTAATTTGTTTAATGATTAGGCCGTTTAAGTACTTGGACTGTCTAATAAACGATAGTTTGAATCCTAAGATTGAAGTAAAGACTAGAGTAGACAAACCAGAAATGTTTTTTGAAAGTTCATAGATTTCTGACTAATAGCAAGTTGGAATTCAACCTGAGATACAAAATACAAAAGTGTTATGTTTGACCTGTTCTCTTTTAGAGAATGGAAGCGTGGACATTAAATACTAGATCCATTAACAAATTTGAAGTTTTTAGTGCATACGGCGAATGCTTAGAATATAATGGAAGGACAAAGTCAGAAATGAGGAAGTGTTAAGAACTCCAGGATAGCAAATTTTTTATTTATGTAAAAAAATAAGAAGACTGCACATATTTGGGGCACATATTACGATGAAAACGATATATTTTTCAGCAACTGGTAATAAAAGAACAGATGAAGGGTAAAAGAAATCTAGGACGTAAAAAGTTGTCATGGCTGCATTCACCAATGGATAGAAATCCACAGGTATGAAATACTTCATAATGCTGCTAAAAATGGAATAATTTAATCCTTGCTATCAAACATCTCACATCTTTAGAATTCACATCTTCTTAAGAGGAAGAAGAAGAAGAAGAAAAAAATTGTTTAAAATTCCTTAAAGGAAAATTTTAGCAGAACTTGTTTTATTATTTTTCAAACTGAATTTTTTATGTAGGAAAGGACTTGTGATTATTTTGCTCAAATTTTCCCTACTATAAGAATCTTGGTCTCTCTGTCTTTTCCAAACGCGGGTAATGGGCCAGACACCCATTTTCATAAAGAAAGATGTCAATACGAGACCTTTAAACAATCCTCGGGTAGGAAAATTTTATCGTCATCGATTTAGGGAAAGAAATATCCTAAACATCGCTGTCATTAACGAATTTGGCAAATACAAAATAGAACTAGATGCAATTCAAAAAAGTAAACGTCTAGAAAATGGAATAAAAGACCTAAAAAGATACAGTGGAACGAAGATCGAAAAAAAAGAATTTGGAATGGCTTTTGAAGCGGGTAATAATGTCAAACACAATATCCTAGATTTTAAAGTAATGAATTATTTAAAGAGTTTCAATATCGTCAGTAGAACAGAATAGCCCTAGCAATAAAAGAAGAATTTTACAAGTTAGAAGAAATGTATGACAATTCATTTAATAGAAGTAGCCAAAGAAGAATAACTCTCAGAAATAATCAGCAAATACTTACTTCGTCAAAACAATAATAAGAACGAGGAATTTTTACTTAATTATGCTAACAGAAAAAACATCTTAAGTTCGACATTCTTTGCGCACTTGGAAATACAAAAAACAACATTGATTATGCTGCGTAGAGTAGTGGCCAATTAAATTCATCACATCTAGCACCACGGCGTTATTTGGATCAATTATGTACAAAGTAAAGATCATTCCGCTGGTTATCCAACTCATCCAATGCAACTGGTCTTATCAATAATATCCAACTAGTATAAACAACAATAGCAACGATCCGCATATATGACAAACTTACTGAAATATTTCCAATAGTCGAAAGTGTAAAATAAGGAAAAGGCTAGTTCCAAAACTGATAAACCTGGCATTTTAAATTCGTCATAATACCTGAAGGTTGGAAGATCCAATTCCTTAATAATCAAATCAGTTCAACCTACCGCTTACGCTTATAATATTAGCAGTAAATTGAAAAGACGGACCACAGAGATTTGCACTACAAATGCAGCAGTACTCTAATGAAGGCCTTTTCTATATCCAGTACTTATTTAGCGCAGTCATTTGTATGTCTGCGGGATGTTCACATGTTCCACCGATGTCAATTTTTTTCCCGAAAGATGGTGAAGAAAAAGTTAAAAGATAAGACACCATCAGGAGCAGCATTCAGATGCAATGATTCCAGACGGATGAATCTCAATGTGTCTGCAGATTGGCTTTATATATCACATTAATTACTACCATGAACAAGCACTAGAAAAATAGCTAACTATTTACCCAGGATGAGCTGTTACAATATTTCTAATATTTAAATATAAATTTAAGTATAATGCCTGAAACCCTATAAATACTATTCATGGATTTAAGAAAGCCGTACTCGTATCTTACAATACAGATCTTTTCTCAAAAGTCCATTTCACAGCTGCTAAAGTTACAGAGCAAGAAGAACCGGAAAACATGCAACAAACTGGAAATATCATCATAACAGCTCCTTCAACTCCAGTTTAGTAAACCCCTTGTAAGAAAAATTGTAATGAGGGCTCTAGTTCAGACAACAGTGACCTTGGCGAATTAGAAATTGGACCAACTTCATCCGTTATTTCTCAGCATATTGACAGTGACTTCCACATCTATACCTTAAACCTCTTTGACTATTTTCCGAAAGATATTTGCCCATTTCCCAACTCGTCACAACTACGACTCGTTACTAAAAGAGAATCTATGGGTACGGTTATTTTTAAAAGCACTCTTTACAAAAACCAGATTTTAGGTAAGCGACAAAAAAAGGAAGAATTTAATGAAAAGAGAGCTCCTAAATTAAAAAATAAAGCTGCAGTTAATGGAAAGCAAAAAGGAAACATAAGAAACCACATTCAATCAAAGGTATAAAAACAAAAAGGAGGACCTAGATGATAAAGAGTCGAATGTTGAAGATGCAGATGTTTTATTTGTTCTGATACTTTTCTCCCGTATTAGAGGCCCAACGTTGGGCCCATGATGAATATGCCGGAATAAAGGACAATGACTGCGACCTTTACACCTGCGATTATTGTTATGTAAATGAGAAGATAGATAGAGTTCGTAGAAAGTTGTAATTAGTGTACTATATAACCCATGTTTAGTTACACACCATATTATACAGAGTTTACTTTTTTGTGTTAGAGTTTTTGTGTTTAATTGGTTTTATTTTCTTAGTAACCATATATTTTTTTCTGAAATGATGTTTACTAATTTATGTCACTTTATTTTCAATAACAAATAGCTTCTATTTTAAGGTAGGGATCATTTTACCCGTCCTTAAGGGATCGTCTTGCCCCACCTGGTTGGGTCAAATGGTCGTTTTGTAAAATTTGTTTATTTGAAATATTGTAAAATGCATTTATCATACATTTTTAAATATTAATTACATATATACCATAATGGGAGCAGTATAGTTGATGAGAAAACAATTTTCCAAATTATTTGGCCTTTAATTAAAAATTATTTAGATATTTTTGTCTTACGAGGATCATTTTGGACCATTCTCCCTTATTTATAAAAGAACATATAAGAAAGATGGATATAAAAAACAATATAAAAACCGGAAGATGAATGAAAGAACACCAGAGATTAAAATAAATATATTTGAGATAGACTAATTCCCCATTTCCAAGTAATAAACTGCAAATTTTTAATTTGTTAAATCTTAAATTATTTTATCCAAATAAAAATGTGTTACAATTTTACCTTTAACTTGGATTTGTGTACCAATCCAGAGCGATCTTGCTGCAACGCCTCAAAAGCCAGCCACAAACAATTAGTAGTATTTTCCAATACCACTGCCATTATACACAATCACCTAATCTACCATTTATTTTGTTATCCAAGTTGGTTCACTGAGCTGTTATGACTCATTTACCGAAGTGTTTTATCTTTTAGTTGCCCACATTCGACTGACTGCGGCTGGAGGCAACCTCGAATAACAACTCGCGACGATAATTGTTTGTAAAATAACAACTATTATTCTAATAACTTTTATTTAAATATGGAGCGCTGAAATGTCCATGAAAGAACACTTTAATCAAGCCTATACTATATGGAAGCTTGTTTTTTTTTAATCTCTGTCTCTAATTTTTACATGCATTGAGATGTGTGAATGCCAGCGACCTTGGTAACAAATAACATTAAAAGTAAATGTATTAATTAAAGATAAATTTAACAAATATTTCTACTTATGGTTAAATCTACTTTACTCAATTTATACCAGGCATCTCGCATATAACTCTTATACAGATATTTGATGGTTCTAAAAGGTGTATAAGGGGTAACTGATGAAAAATCCGTAAAAACTTGAAGACATACAGCTGATTTTGCTTTGTTTTTGTTTTAAACAATCTTAAAAGGTTAAAAAGTCTTCTTTTGGCTATAAAACGTTTCTTATAACAGTTTAAAGAAAATTGGTTCAAATACAAAATGTTTTTCAATTTGCGAGTTTCAAAATTAAAATACATAAAGAATTCACCTAGATAGTTGCAAAAAAACCCTTAATTTTGCAGTAATTGATAAATTTTAATAACTTTGTTTTTTGCATAATAGCATATAATATACCTAGGTGCATGCCGTATGTATCTAATCTTAAAATACCTAGGTTATATAGACTTCCTAATATTCATAAACATAATTATCCCGTAAGACCTGTTGTAAGTTTCTGTAACACTCCAATTTCTTTATTATCAAACAAACACAATTCAGTATATCACTAAATAATTTAAATTCTTTAGATATAATACGGAAGACTACTATAAAGAACTACTCACAGAACACAGAAAACCGCCCAGATTTTATAGAGACAGACACAGAACAGGAACAACAACAAAGTCAGAATGAAGAATAGATTGAGATAACATTAATCGAAGTAAAGAATGCCATAAATACTTTCAAGAACAAAAAATCAGGGGGACCAGGAGGAATCGTTAATGAACTAATTAAGTACGGAACGGACAAACTACACAGAATTTTACACGAAATGTTTAGTAACGCTATAAACCTGAACGAAATACCAGATGAATGGTCCAAAGCATATATAACCTCGATACATAAAAAGGGAGATAAGAAGAAATGCGAGAACTACAGAAGCATCAGTGTAATAGCATGTATGGGCAGCTTATATGGAAAAATACTGAAAGAAAAACTGGAAAAATCTATCTCAAATAAAATCGGAGAAGATCAGGCGGTGTTCACGGCGGGAAGATCTTGCATAGACCACATATATACACTCAAACAATGAATTGAAAAAAACAATGGCAAAAAATAGACCAGTATACATGGCATTCATAGATTTAAAAAAGGTTCAGACACGGTTCCCAGAAAACGACTATGGAACACGATGAAGGAAATCGGAATAACTCAGAGGTTAATAGAAGCCGTAAAAAACCTTTATAACAACAACAAGGTAAGAATTAAAACCGGCAATAAATACTTCAACGAATTTAAGACCACAAAAGGCTTATTGCAGGGATGCTCTACATCTCCGACACTGTTCAAGATATTCCTCGAACAAATATTAAAACCATGGAAAAGGAAATGTGAAGGGATGGGAAAATCCGGGACAATTTCTTGTACAAATTAAGCTTTGCAGATGACCAAGTGGTAACGGCTCAAGATAAAGAAGATTTGTGCTATATGCTCCGAAAATTAGAAAAGGAATACACAAAAAATGGACTGGAAATAAACCTAGAAAAGACCGAATATTTAACAACAAAGCAATAACCAGTGAGAAACTTGGAAATTGACGATGATAGGGAAATTAACGGCACTGAAAAATTCAAATAATTAGGATTTATACTCTTAAAAAATGGAACCACCTAGCAAGAGATAATCAGCAGATTAGCACAGACAAGAACATGTGTAAACCAAATAAACGGGGTACTGTGGGATAGACAGATTACCAGAAATACAAAGAAGAGAATTTATAACACTTTGGTACGCAGTATAATGACCTATTGAGCATAGAATTGGGTAATAAATAAACGAAACAGGTCCAAAATCACAGCAACTGAAATCGAGTTCATGAGAAGAAGCTGCAGAGTGACAAAAATAGATCGCATCAGAAATGAGGAGATAAAACGAAGAATGGCAGTGGTACAAGACATACTCAGCTACATCGAAGAAAAACGTTTAATTTGGTATGGACATATGAGAAGAACAGATCATACAAACAAGGTGGATAGCAAATATTTCGGATTGGAGCCCAATAGGAAGGAGGAAAAGAGGTAGACCCCGAAGATCATGGAGGGATGAAGTGGACGAGGCCATAGAAAGACGAGATCTTAGAGATGGAGAATGGCAGAACAGAAAGGACTGGAGACGTTCGCTGAAAGAAGAAAGGCGGCGACAGCTGTAAAAATCCTTAAATAGATAGATATAATAGACGTTTAAATAACATCAGAATAAAATGGAGTTTTTATTTAGTTTCTTTAGATATTTCCAATTTGTTCACTTTGGTATGGTACTAAGAGATGAAGCTCTACCGTTAGTACAAAACCTCTATCGTTAGTTTAAATAATTCCAACATATCGGTAAAAGATCAAGATTCCGTCTTAACTATGCTTAAATTTTGTTTTTATCAGGATTTCTTTAAATTTAATCAAAAAATGTATAAAAAACCAATAGCAAAAACATCAACCAACAACCAACATCATCAGCTTTTTTTTAGCTGATATTTGGTTAGACAGCTTAGAACAGAAATTTTTTAACAACAATAAAACAGTTATTTTGTGTAGATATGTTGATGATTGTATAGCTCTTAGACAGTGAACTCTTACGCTTGCATAGCTCTTATACAAAAATTTGGGAAAATAATCTTATTCTAGAAATTTATAAGAAAGGTAAAATACCAAAAATTTCGTAGGAAAAATCGAACGATTATTGAGATGTACTTTATTAGGTTTGGCTTCTTCTTCTTCTGGTTCCTATCCGTTTCGGATGTTGGAAATCATATTGGCAATCATAACCTTGCTCGCTGCGGCTCGAAACAGCTCCGTTGAGGTTTTCTTAAATCATGTTCTTAAATTCCGCAGCCATGATATTCTCCTTCTACCGGGTCCTCGCTTACCTTTGACTTTACCTTGCAATATAGACTGTAGCAAGGAGTAACGGTGCTCATTTCTCATAACGTGTCCCAGATATTGCAATTTTATGCGTTTGATTGTAAACACAATCTCTGGTTCCTTCTTCATTTTTCCTAGAACTTCCTTGTTCGTGATCCTTGCTGTCCATGATATTCTCAGCATTCTTCTATAAAGCCACATCTCAAATGCTTCAAGTTTTTTAATAGTGGTGTCTGTAAGCGTCCATGCCTCCGCCCCGTACAACAACACAGAGAAAACATAGCATCTCAAATGTCTCATTTTTGTATCAAGGGATATTGTGACTTTTGAAGATGGCGCTCATTTTGTTAAAGACCGTTCTTGCCTTTCCCATGTGGCACTTTATTTTCTGTAAATTGCTCCACTGTTCGTTAATAATAGTTCCCAGGTAACAATACTGTTTTACTCGCTCTATCTGCATCCCATTAATGTATAGATGAGCCCCGTTTCTATTCTCCTTGCTGATAATCGTTTGTTTCGTTTTGTGGGTATTAATGTTTAGTCCGTACTGTTGACTGTACTCGTTTATTCTATCCATTAGTCTCTGAAGTCTCTCTAAACTATCGCTATCACTATGGTGTCGTCGGCATATCTAACATTGTTTACTCTTTCACCATTTAGAAGGATGCCTTCGTCTATTCCGTAAAGGGCTACTTCGTCTAGGTTTAGCTACTTGTCACTTAAATTGTAAAAATTTAAAAATATGTTCTAGCAGATTTGTAGATGCCTGTAAATAATTGACCTTGATAAATATTAAATGATATTACCTATTCTATAAGTTCTTTTATATATTCTTCTTATAGTAGATTGTAATCTTTGTTTCGAAATAAAAAAGAGTAAAAATTAAAAAATATGTACTTATAATTTTATACATTCCTAAAGTTTATCTCTTATCGCAGCAATTAAAAAGCTCTTCGACTTCACCATAAAAATCTGCTTCTAAAGCAAAATCGTGCAATAAAACAGCAGAGTGGTCGACCATAATTTCAAAATGTTCATTATCCATATAAGACATTAGGACTGCGTCATCCAGAGGACTGGTATCTAAATGTGGGCATACATAGTCGGGGGGAATTATGTTATCTGCTGCGATTATTCGGTTCCTCCATCTCTCCTCTCTTTCTCTTATGAGTTGCTTGCATTCGTCATTATTATTTGTATCTAAAAATATTTTATTAGTTATATTAGAAATAGAATTAACAAGCAGACTACAGAATACAAAACGCTTAATACAGGATTAAGAAGATATACATTTGTCATTCGTCACTATGGAAGGTATGAATTTAAAAAAAGGCAAAATCCAGAGTGTTGGAAGGCTGTTGGAAAGCTGAAAACAATAACATAACCTTAAAACATCAATATTAAGAGTAAATATCTTAATAATTTGATATTCTTACTTCACAAATTCACGAACAACAAATAATATCAATCACACAGAATGATTGTTCATAACCAAAAGTTCTTATTTACTCTTCAAACAAGTTAAAAAACAATATTTTCAACTTCTTATGGGACAAATGCATACAAAATAAAAATGTTTGGAAAGGTTTTCTAAGCCCCGGCCAATGACTTAGTCTGACGTCAAAAGAAATGCCTATAATATACTTATAGTTACTTAATGTATAGAATTTTATTAGAATCATTATTATATAAAGCCATCATACCTCTATACTGCTGATTCAACGGAATAGTATTCAATGTTACTGCTGGGACTCTCTGATATCTTTGCGGATCTGGACAAGGCACAACACCTACTATTTGAGCACCATCTAAAAATAATTGTGACCTAATGATTAATAAACATTAATTATTATGAATATGACCGAAAAAAAGATGGAAGGATGATGTTGAAGCCGATTTATCTAGAATTGGAGTACAACAATAGGAAATAGAAGCGCAAAGTCGTAGAAGATGGAGGGGGATAGTGGATGCAACGAAGATTCACTCCGAGTTTTAAAGCCAGTGAAGAAGAAGAGTATATAATAATTAAAAAACTCAAGAAAGTAAAACGTTCTGTCTAGTATATAGCACAAAGTAAAAAACAACAAAACCAACGCTGAAAAGGTATACTTAACAGTAATTAAATTATTTAAACAAAAGTCCTAAATGATCAATCGAAAACAAACATTAAGATGCTTAGAAAAGTAATTAAATTGGCTACTTAGAATGTATGAGGGGTCCATCAAAAGAATAAATATGATACTTGAATAAAGAGTCTTAAAGTAAATCCAAACATTTCAAATAGGGCTTTTTTGCCAATGTGTTTTGAAAAAAATTTAAAGATATGATCGATTATATACACTTGATTGCAAAACAATCGACTCAAAAGCGATATTTGAGATCGCGCCTTCTGTGTTAATGTAAGAATTATGATAATAAAAGATGATAAAAAACTACTACTGCATTATTTGGAAGATGCATTAAAAAAACAATATGCAATACAAACAGAGTTTCCTAAATATTCATCAGTGGATTTAACGCACGAAAGACGTTATGAACAGAGAAATCATCAATTACAAAACGAATTTCTTTATTACACAGTATTTGATATTATCACACGTACTCATAATTACACTTTCCAATCAATTTCGCATGGATCAGATGACTTTTCTAATAAATTCTGAGACATTGCTTCCCATTCATCATTCAGCGCAGCTCTCAATTCCATTATGCTTCTTGGTGCATGCTCTATTGGATTTATTTCCGGGCTCAACGCAGGCCAATTTACTGTAGGTATACCGATCTGTCAGACAGATGGTGGGACTCGTACAGTATGGCATAGTGCATTAAAATAAACGTATCTCCAATAACTCCCGCGTATGGAACCACATTTTTTCTCCAAAATGTCTCTGAAGTAATGATCCGCCGGTAAATCCCCTTCACGTAAAAATCAACTTGGTTTTCCCATCCATGGAAATGCCTGCCCAAAACATACAAGAACCGCCTCTATATGACACAATTTCTCGTATACAACATTGAGCAAATCGCTCTCCTGACCTTCTATAAATTCGACGCGTCTTGTCGTTGCCATGTAGACAGATCCTACTTTCATCGGAGAATAATAACTCACTCCATTGATAGTCATCCCAATTCAGATGTTCGCGAGAAAATTCTAATCGTCTTTGCTTCTGATCTGCAGTTAGCTTAGGACCCATAGCTGCCCTTTTTGGTGTCAGGTTGGATGCCTTCAGTCTCTTTCTTACTATCCAAAAGCTGTTAACCACACCTCGGACCTCTATAAGCTCTTCTTTAAGATTAGCATCAGTCAATTGTTGATTTCTCAGGGATTTCGATACAAGAAATCGATCATCTCTCTCCGTTGTTATTCGTTTACGGCCTCCTCCTTGTTGGCAAACAAAATCGCCAGTATCTTGGTATTGACGATACACTCGGGACACAGCATATTGGCTTAAATTTAGTCAATTTGCCACGGCTCTCTGACTCAGGCCTTTTTTCAATAATGCTACTGCTTGAGCTGCTTTGACGGATGTGGTATCCATCTGTAATGCAGTTGCGAATTTAAGTGACTGATGACTGATGTATTACTGGGCCGCTATGGAAAGTGATGGGTACGATGTTAACCGAACGAGTTAAGTCGGTGCGTGTCGAATTCAATGAGTCAAATTCTGACTCCTTCTCTACGTGTTGCATTATTTATTTGTAATAAATCATCTGATTCACCAAAAAACACAAGTTTTTAAAACTCAATAATGAAGTTATTGATTGTACACTAAATATTTTTAAATTCACACGTCGATTATTTTGCACTCACGTGTAAAAAATTTAAAGTAGAGTCACAAAGAGGTCAAAATTGATCATTTTCTTATGCAAGTCTCCATAACGAAATCTAAGGTCCAAAAAAACACTGACAGCTTAAGAACGGTTCTTACACCACTTATGTTTTAAATATTACTTTAAAAATTCTTACCCTCTCCTATAAAGTCTTTATACAATGATGAGCATGCAGTCCTTAAGTCTCCATTTCTTTGATTATTATTACGCGATCCTATTTGTTCTGCTTGATTTTGTACAGGTTGCTTAGGACATAATTCGAATCGAGTTCTTTGATTTGATTGGTTTTGTCTTTGATTTATTTCTTCTGGAGCATCGGTACAATATCGTTGTTGAGTCATTTTTACCAAGATATGAGTTTTGTCTCACAAAATATGTTTAGTACTTGGTTTTTTAAAATTATTTGGATAAATTGGAAATATATTACTGAAATTTGGCAGAAATTTGATAATGAATCGAAAATATAAATGTCTTTGTCAAAATTTGAGCTCAGTCGAGTGAAAATCAAATGTTCACAAAAACGATATAATAGGTGCTGTCCCATAAGTCAATCGGAATGATGACAACGTTTATTATTCTGTGACAACAGTCGTTGAATATTACTTACTTCTTCATAATACCTAAGGGCTATTGGCTGTTGTAAGGCCTAAAAAGAATTTTTCAGGAAACAAACGCATATTTTCAGATCAAAGGAGAAATTTTACTACAAAGAAGGCATCAATTTGTTATAGAAAGATTGGAATAAGTGTATGATCCTAGAAAGCATCATAAGTATTAACAGTTAAAATGCAAAAATATTGCAAACATTCATATTTATCTTACAAATACTTTATCATCTTTTTATGATTCTCCGTTATTTTGGGAAAACGAGTTCCATTTAAATCAATGCTGTAAGGTAGATTATCTTTCCCAGAAAATAACGGGACTTGGAATGTTAGTTGCCTATCTAATAGGTACGATAATGTGGCACTATGAATACTGGATGCTGAGAAGATCGGTGTTTCCACTTGCCACTGGATAATCCAAACAAGGGACAGAGCAGAATGGCGAAGAAAGCCTGAGAAGGTCGAGGCTGCTTAAAAGGACTGTAGCACCATAATGATGATGATATACACACTAAAATTGGTGGGATATTTAGACATAATGAGGAAAGGATAGGTACCTTATAGAGTCACTAATAAAAGATTGTGTGGAGTTAAAAGGCTGGCTTTAGCATTATGTAGTAATTTATATAGCAAAACAAGTTATTTTGGTAAACCAGGTGTTTACACAAATGTTTTTATAGAAATACAGTACATGTTTTAACTTTGTTTCTGGAAAAAATGAAGGATTATTCAGAAAATCGTTTGAATTTGCCAACTGCTTTTTGCAAAAATTATTTAAAATTTTTTTTTCTGTTTTTCTTTCATCAAAAATTTTCATTTTCAGTAATATATTTGTTAGATTCGTACATAGTACAAGGATTTACAAGATGCTCGTAAATAAATCGTAAAACATGCAGCAAGTCTAAGAAGGAAGAATTGACTAAAGACATTGATTGGTTCAACAGTTCAAAAACAAGAAACTTTTATAAAATGATTAATAGTGCAAGGAAAGATTTTAAACCGAAATTAAATCTGCGCAGAGGCAAGGAAGAAAATAATAGCTAACAAGAAGAAAATATTTAAAAGATAGATAAAACATTTCAAGGCATCCACCTAACTTATAGGAAACTAACGAGCATTCCAGATACTAGAGTATCGCGTAATTCTTCTGTTCTTCGAAATCTCATCACCTCTTGTTTTTTGATGCAGTTTACATAACATTTCAACTCTGGATGTGCTAGCTTCTTCTGAGGATTTTTTTATTAAATAATGCCAATGTTTGAACAAATAATTTTCTTAATAACGAACGTTTTATGGGATTCTGTACTTCTATGGGGTTAAAACTTCTTGCAACTAATTTTATTTTATCTGCTGTTCGTAAAATTTCTGTATGTATGTGTTAGTGGTTGCATAATTAATAGGGATAAATATACAAATGAGTGAAGTAAGTAATGGTGCCTATTTGCTCCGATTTTATAATTTACATGGCTCAAATGAAACTCAAAATTAGATTTTTATATTAATATATTAACGTGAATTTTACATTCTTAATGGACTGTTGTTAGATGTGCTTTGATAACTTTAAACTAAGATTTTCTGTGTAAATTAAAATATCATCTAGGCCTCTACCCATAATTTCAGCTTTAACCTTGTGTTTTGTATGACTTCTTTTTCAAAATAAATCAAGTATTGTACACGTGTATTGTTAAGTGTGTAAATGCTGGAGATGCACCGTTTATTAATTCTGTTCTGAAACTATTTTCTTGTGAATAAGCCACAATTAAAGTTTATTGACGTTTCAATTTCCACTTCAGATTCGTTCAAAAACCCATTTATGGCATGGAAATTGAAACGTCAATAAACTTAATTTAAACTGCAATTATGGCTTATTCCCATTGAAATAGTAATTGTTTATTAATTCATTGTAAATATAGCAGGCATTTTTAATTTTAAAGCAGTTTGTACACAAAATATGTTATATTAAGGAATTTGGAAAAATTCAGAATACATAAGAAAAGTAAATACTACAAAACATTTATTTGCAAATATATTTTATAAATAAAAAATTATTCAGACGGAAAACTCTTAAACTAAGCTGTAGTAGACTGAAGATGTTTGTGGACACATTCCTCCTTGTTGATGAGATGAGTGATTTTGTTGACATGCTGCATCAGCTGAGTCAAATCGTGAGCCCAATCATTCAAGACATCGCTGGGATCTTTGCTTTGTTGGAAATGAACAACACCTGCTGGTCTATCAGTTTTAGCTTGAATCGTTTTGCTAACAACCATTTGAGACAAGAATTCTTCTGTTTCTCCTGGAGAAAGGTCTAGTAATTCTGAGATACGGTTTATTGTAATGCGGGTGTAGTATTTGGCCATTACTCGGATGTTATGTTCAACTACTCTGGATCTGGAATATAAAAATTAAATTCTTATTCATTCACTTAAAAAAACCTATCCATTTTATGTAAATAATAGACCATTTAGTAATAGTTCAACAATATAATGAAATGTGCAATGAATACATATCAATAGAGCTCCAAAAAATTGACTATATGTAAATATCCAACATTTTCTTTAGACATTATTAACTTACTTCAAATCTGACCATCTTTTCTGGGCCTGATCATTGCCAGAAAAAACTGGAGTAGTCTTCAACTGCTTTTCATACAGTTCACACAAACCAGACCATTTGATCAATTCAGGAGTGGTAAAGAGTTTGAGAAGTTGCTTGTAAGTTGGAATTTCCTCCAAGACTTTGTCAGCTAACACCCGATGTGTCAAATCAACCTAAACATGGAACACAAAGTAAATCAAGATATTCTAATACAACGTTGGGGTCATTGATTATGTTGGTATAAAATATATGAACTTATTACAATAGTATCTATTCCTTATAAGTCAGACCCAACTCATACATTATTTTTTTATTATGTATTTATTCAATGATACATTATGATATATTATTACATAAGATTTACCTGCTCATTGTCATGTGGAGCCAATATAATATATAGAACAACAGCTTGTGCAGCAGCTTGTTTTTCTTCAGGAACTGCCATAATGCTTGGAGTATTAAGAACAGCCCTATAATGTTTACAAGTTGCCAAATAGGAGCCCTCGTGTTGATCCACCTCCATCATCAGTCTGTAATACTTTAATTTTAAATCTGAAGAGCCTGAAATAAAAATTAAAATAAAATACATAAAGAATTTTATCCAAACAAGAATGACTTAAATCATAAAGGTGTCTATGAATGTCTATAATGGAAATAATAACTCATAGTAAGAAAGAAAATAGAGAAAACATGTATAAAGAGGTGATCTTACCATCTTCTTCGAAAAATTTTGTATTGATCTTCTTGGAAATGATCTGAGTTCTAATGTAATCCTGCTTGGCAACACATAACCTCATCTGCTCTAATATTAACTCCACTTTCTCCCTTTTCTCCATTGATCCATATGTTTCCACCTGTAGTTCTTGAATAATATCAGCAGCTTGTTGTATATCACCATCATCTTCACGGATTTTGGCTAATTTGTGAGTCAGACGAGCTCTTTCAACTTCTACATAAATTTTTCCTTCAGTAACCTGCCTAAAAAATTTTAAAATGAAATAAACATGATAAAAATAAAACATAGTATATCTTTTGATTGCATAAACTTTGGTCATTGAGGCATTTGGTCACCTCTTTCATCATTAAACCATTGCTTGTTTAAAATAAATGTGTATGCAGGAAAGTCATTAAAATCATATTTGATACTAATACAGTGGCTCTCATAAAAAAAATTTAAAAAAAAACATAAGACCTGAATTCGTAATAAAATAAACCTAGAGAAATAACATTGTTTAAAGCAATGAAAACTTCCCTACAATTACTTTATTACTAGTTAAGGAAGAGCCATACTTTTGGTACAAATGCTAAAACTCAGCAGTCCCAATTCTTTTTCAGATAAAGAACAATGCTATACCTAACATGATATAGACAAATAATTATTAGATAAAAAGTATAAGTTTAGAAAACTGCAGAAACCAGTTAAGATATAAATTCCCATATATTCAAGTCATAACTTATAATTATACATGCAATAACATCTAATATAGGTAAATAATAAAGCTATTTACCTTAACGTGTCTATAAGTTTTACTTTGGTCTCCTTATCTGGAGTTTCATCCACATAGGTGCAGCATTCTTGAACCATCTTGGCCACAGCTTGCTTCAACTGTGACCTCCTTTTTGTCAACAAAACGATGTGTTCATTGAGTGCAGACCAATTCTTTGCATCTTTGCAAATTTGGCAAATGGCAACCAAGACTCGACCTGTGGATATCATGTCTGCTCCTGTTCTGGTCTGCTTCTCCAAAGCCAGCAATTGATCAAGGGCGTCATGCAATTTACCTGATTTTGCTAGTTTTTGACACTCGGGGATTTTATCGTCACAAGTGGCACTGTAATCCACTTCCATCTTCACTATTTTTCCAGAATCAGTAGCTATGGACTCCATTGTTAGCCTAGTTATTGTTTATACTAAAATAAATAAGAACTATGAGTAAAAAACAATAGTGTTGTGTAAACTAACAAGATACAAGGTAAAAGAACAGAAAAGAACTTTAGTGGAAATCCTCTAAAACATAATCTGAAATAGATAATTTACATTGCCGCTAACTTTGAGGTTATAATTTAAAACTAAAAGCATTGTCATATTTATGTTGAAAAAATTGAAATATAATAAATGTAAAATGTTGTACCTGATAAATAAGTATCCTTTATTTGATTTTTTGATATTCAAAAAAATTACTAGTCATGAAAATATTTATCTGACTGGTCTGTAGACGTTTTAGTGTTGTGTGACCCTTGTCAACTTTCAATTGTCAGAAGCTGAAGTTTGAACCATGGAATATATTTATACATTTTTATAAATTTTCTGTTTTGGGCAATATAAATAAAATACTTTACTTTTAAAAAATTAGATCTAACACATGCATCTAATCATCCAATATTTTTATTTTCTAATGTCAACAGATTTTGATAAATGCGCATCTTGAATGGTAGAAGCCGAGATGTTTGAGTTCTTTAAGTAAAAGTAAGTTATCAAATATATTCTAATGGAATTTTTAATTTAATTCAACTTTGCCTTTAAATTCTAGTAAAAAAAGTCAGTCAAATTGGGTTGTGTCATCTATAATGTAGTCTGAAAACTAATAATTATTATGTAATTTAAACTTCAACCACTGGATGTCATTGTATGTAGTGTAATATATAAAAACCAATAAATATTAATAATATTACCTTTTTTCTAAAATTTCAATCTTATATAAGCTTTATTTACTCTTTATGTAACTCGTATTTTATAAAAATATCTATTAAAAATATTAAAAAAACCTAATTTTAAAAATATCTTTATTTATGCAATTCATTATTCATTATCTTCACACATTAAAAAGAAGAATTTTCAAAGAGGCATAGGTTAGTTAATATTTTTAGGTTATATCGAGGGGGAATTAAAAAGTTCAAATTGTTAATACAATTTATTATTATCAACATGCAGAGTGTAAGATTGATACTTCGCCCATTGCAAAGATACAGAGGAATTTCAAATTGGTATGTTATTCAAGCTTGTAATATTTTAGATACAATAACTTTATATTTTGCAGTGCTGCATTATGCCAGTCGGTGGAGGTTCAGACGAATCCCGTAGAAAAGATTCAAATTCCACCCCCTAGTAATGTTGATCAACCAGTATCCCCTAAAATAGATAAACTAGCAACAGAAATTTCTAAGCTTAACCTAATTGAAGTGTCTGAACTAAGCTCTGTCTTAAAGAAGAGGCTGAATTTACCTGATGCTCCTGTCTTTCCAGCGGGTGGCTTCGCGCCAGTTGCTGCACCCGTAGATGAAGAGGATGCTGCCCCTAAAAAAGAAAAATCTATATTCACAGTAAAATTGATGAAATTTGAAGAAAAACAGAAAGTCGCGTTAATAAAAGAAATTAAGGCCTTAGTAGAAGGTATGAATTTGGTACAAGCGAAAAAGTTTGTCGAAGGTGCTCCTGCTGTCGTTAAAGCTGATGTGCCCAAAGAGGAGGCTGAAAAATTAAAAGCAGCGATAGAAAAAGTTGGTGGTGTTGTAGAACTTGATTAGATTAGTTGTATAGATGACTTGTGCAGTTTTATAATAAAATAATAAATGTTAAGTTATTGTTTACTACTTATTTTATTTAAAAAATATAAATAGTCAATTAGTTTGGTATTTTCTAATACTTCTATATCGTGAAACCTTCAGAGAACAGAATAATTATAACCAATCCTGTGTTACATGGACGAATACTGAATTATGACTTAAAATTCAAGTGAAGCATTATTTGCTGTTAACAATATCAATACACTTTTTAATTCGCGAAGAAAATGAAATGTTAATTTATAGAATTCGATGCCAAAAATTTCTTGTAAGTTTGATTCGATTTTTTAATTAATCTGACTGAAGAGAATTTACAACTAAGCATGGAGGCAGGCTATTAAAAAAATATGACTTATTTTATAATCTTAAAAGGTTGGTATTCATTAGAAGAGCTTTTGAAAACATTTAGTTCAGATTACATGAGTATTAAATCTACCTTCAGGAAAAGATTCTTCAAAGTTTATACAAACCAAAGAATATAGACGCTAAGCGTCTATATTCTTTGTACAAACTATTAATTTCAGATAATAACTTTCTATTTTACACTTAGGTACATACAACTGAGAAAGTGTTTATTTCATTGTACCAAAACAATAAAAAGTTACAATTTCAGAGATTCCAGATTTAAAATTCTAAATATTATCGAAAAATCACATTATTAAAATCAATAAATCAAATTAATATTAACAAAAATTAAATAGAATTTTTGGAAATGTTGGTTGGAGGAGCCATCAACGCAATGTAATGCTGGTTGCATAGCTTGGAGACACCAATAATTACTATTTTAAATAAACAAAAATATTTGGTTTTAAATCTATTTCTTCGCAAAAATTACCAACAAGAACGTTAGTAAGTTTCTGAATATCATTTTTTTACATAATTGTTTCATTAAGGTTATGCTTTCCACCTAGGACAACTTTGATGATTCTAATTGAGTACTTAATAGTTTTTTTAAGAAAACTAAAATTTGATTTTTAATGAAAGTTGCTGTTGAGGAATGTTATTTTCAAAAATTTGTTTAACAGGGATGGGGAACTTTCATCCGTTAAAGCGTCTATTATATTTTTTTAATTTAGGAAATAGTCTGAATAGAAAAAAAGCGACTTTCAACCATATTCTCCATCGTGTTAGAACGGATTCTAGTGGAAGTTGAATATTTGAAAAGTTAATCGTATAGTAGATATAATGAATAGGTAGGTAGGTACTTGTTTTTGATCTCAGGGAGTTTACAAAAGGAAACTTTTTTCTAATTTCTTCCGCAACTCTGTTGATTCCCAGTGCTCAACAAGTAACGTGTATGGAGTTGAGAGTTGATATAAAATATTTTTAAATGTTTTCCTGTCTTGAACATAATATGGTACCTACAGCATCGGATAAAAAAAGCAATAATTTATGGCTAAGAACAGCTGCAGGGTGAAAAAAATTGGATATTTCTTCTTGTACAAAACGAAAATTGGTACTTAGTTCTCTATTGGATTTTCTAGTTACTTATTGATACTGCTATTGATAGTATCTATGGTTAGATTAATACTTTTTTAAATTCGCTATTCTGAATAAATTGACGTTTATGCATTTTATGAAATGAAATGTGGAACACAAATCAGGATGTGGAATGAAATGAAATACTGGCGTTTGAGATGGAATTATGTGCGATTCCACGTACTTTCAATCTTCTACTAACTTATCCCGCCGTTATTCTCTGGGTTTTTGAGTGGAATGTATTATTTTAATTGTCTATGGTACGTAAAGGATACGAGGAACTTGCAACTAACTTTTAATTCTCTACGTATTATAGGTAACACAAACAGGTGGGTACTATATGTGACAATATACGTGGTTACACAAAGTTGTTAGTTTCACAATCGCGGAGACAAATTTTCTTATGCTTAACACTTGAGAGAGAGCATCGAGCAATAAGACAAAAAAAGGAATCTAATCCTTATGAAAAGGAGACCAAAAAAGTGGCCTCTGATGGCGGACATATCCGGAAATGCGAATGCGCCAAATTTAAATTTTCCGACACTTATCAACAGTAGCTATATAATATTTTTCAGAATGTGTCTTAGACGAGAAAGTTTTAAGTAATTATTAATAATAAGAGTCTAAAATGCGACACAATTGTTAAAAAACTTCAATATAAATAAGATTTCATGCGACATTTGGGACAAACAATAACATAACCCAACTAAATTTGATGTCAAACAAGGAGAGAGACTCTCTTTCCTTGTTTAATGTGGCCTCTAAAGATCGCACTTCCTGTCTAACAATATGTTTGCCCCCACTACCTTTACATTCCCTCTTTTGTCTTTTTGCTCGATGAGAGAGAGAGAGAGAGAGACACGCTCTGAGAATCGCAAATAACACCATGTTTCTTCCGCGAAAGTTTCTAACAGACAGTCAGACCACATATTACAGGGTTGGAAACAAAATCAGTTTACAACCAAAATGTTTTAAGTATATCTATAAATATGCAAAATTTCCAGATATGCATTTTGCATATTTGTCCAAGTCTAGTCATAATATTTGATTTTATAAAACTTAATTTTATATTTTGCAGCTATTTTGAACTTAATTTTTTGGTTTACTTTTAAATAATTTTTCGATATTATCTTCTGTTTCCCCCTTGACTGTGTTGCTTTTTGAAGAAAATGTAATTAAAACACGTAATAAAGCTTATAAATAATTGACATCAGACAATAATATTGTACTACTTTTAAAATAATAAACAATATTGCACTATATTTCAGTCTAGAATCACAAAACATCATGTGGTCCAGCACGAGATACGGAAGCAATCAAAACAACCGTGATCTAGGATCAAAGATTGCATGTGATCTACATTAGAAGGTGCAATGATCAATTCCTTCCAGGAAAGTGTTTACGTAAAACGAAAGCTTCTAATCAATATTATCAAAACATATAGTGCCATATTTAGGTTGGAAAGAATCATTTATTTATTCTGATATTGATTTGGGATTTAACAAGTTTTTAGCATATAATTTTGGGATTTTTTCAGTCAGTTTTTTCATCCCTATATCTTTCCCTCTCAATCACTATCTTTATCTCTCTTCCTCTTTTCCTCTATGTCCTGTTTCTTAGTCATTATGCATCCAGAATTGGGCATTGAGCAATTGTTTTGTTAAGCAATTGATTGAGCAATTGATTGCTTGCAAACTGTACAATTTTGAAATAATTAAAATAATATTACGTTTTAAATATTGTTAATTATTTTAATTAGTTTACAACAGACTCATCTAGAGTAAATATTAACTTATTCCGGCAAATTAACCAATTCAACAAGCTGTTTAGCAAGACGCCAGGGAGGGCTTCGGGGTCGCAGTCGGCGTATGGTCTGGAGGATGGGCATTTTTCAGGGTCGTTCATTATTTTATTATATTTCGTTATGAGTCTTTCTTGTCTGCACAGAGAGTGAAGCTATATAACTGAATGTTGCAAACTCTAACAGAGAAATAGACCTGATGCAACCAATAAACATCCTCATTATTCCATGTAGTTGGACATCAATCATTTTAGAGTGAGGATTACCTAACCAAAATCAACACAGCTTTTATATAATGTTGAACGCCCTTATTTTGCAGGCAAAATGCTTTTTGATAGATTTGGATTTGTCTACAGTAACTCCAAGGATTTTAGAATGATTTTGATGTTTGAGAACAGTATTATTAAAAAATCTTTTAGTTGGTGGCTGGTCGAATAAATCCATTCGAACATCTAAAACTATTTTTCAATATTTTTAATTTAGTATTTAACTCCACTTTTGATAAAAATGCACCTACTCTATGTGTAAATTTATAAATGTTAACCACTGTCAAACATTAAAAAAACATTTGTAAATAAGTTTTAGTATATAATATAGTTTTTTGTGCGCTTAAAACTCTTACAAGAAAGACTCCCCGAAAAATCAGGCACCCTGTCTACCCTCAGAGTTTATATCCGCACTGTGCAACATCTCTGTTTCCAAAAAGAAGCCCTAACAAACTCATCAAGGATTTACTACTGACACATTTATACAGTGCTCTCATTAGTAGTCTGTGGTGCTCTCCAGATCTGTCAAAAGTTTGTCCAGCTTATGGTATAAAAGCACCAATGCGTACTCCCTGTTTTTACTTATGGTTTCCAAACGTGGACATCTACCAAAGCAAACATGGACAAAATCATAAAAACCCAAAGAGCAATGGAAAGACAAATGTTGCACATAAGACTAATGGATAAGAAGAGAAACGAGTGGATAAGAGAGAAAACAAAAGTGAGGGATGTTAGACAAGAAGTTGCAAAATTGAAATGGAGATTTGCCGAAAACAATATAAGACAAAAAGAAGACCGATGGAACAAAATTCTTATAAGTTGGAGACCGTGGGAATATAAACGAAGCAGAGGAAGGCCCAAATGAGATGGGCAGATGATATCAAGAAGCACGTGGGCTCTAGATGGATGACTGTAGCGACAGACAGAGAAAAATGGAAAAGGATTGGGGAGGCCTATGTCCAAAGATGGACCGAAGAAGGCTAATTAGATAGATAGATAGTCTTTAAGACATTCTTATATTACAGGTAAGAGTTCTCATATTTTGTAACCAGCAATCTATGTTATACTCTCTATCTCATTTTAGGACATTCTTCATGTTTGTCCTATTGTGTAGAGACTAATTTTATCTACACTTACTTAGTGGCATGTTTCCATAGTATTAAGGTGAATGTAGATAATTTCTGAATGAAATTAAACCCAATCAACATCTTTCTCATATAGTTACCTCTAGAATATCAAAGTTCTTGGGCCATATCAAGACAGATATTACAAAAAAGGTCTGAACATACAGTATACTGAGGCACTATATGTAACAGATGACTGCGATCAGTGGAGAAATATCATTACTCAAAACGTCCGAGCTACTGAAGCTCGATAATGAACTACAACACTTCTGTCAAGATGTACGTGACTATGATGATTAACTAACTTCAATTTTATTTAGGTTTAGAGAAATAAAGTAGACCTAAACTTCGGTGCAG